CCGCCCCACCCCGGCTGCCATCGCCACCTCCTCTAGAGCAAGCTGTCCTGTCCACTCCTGCCAGGCACTCACCACAGGCTGCCTCTGTTCTCTCTCTGCTGCCTTCTCTGCCCCTTTCACCAGAACGGGCACTCCCCAAAGGCAGGGACTTCCTTCTCCGTGCTGGGTTCTGTCTAGGACAGAGCCAGGTACATCAGCCAAACCCAACCCAACCCAACCCGCTGCCGGCCACTTGATTCCGACTCTTAGCTCCCTTACAGTTTCAGAGGCTGTCGAGCCGAGTGGGGAGCGTGGGCCCTCAGGCTGTTTAAGGCTCTCAAAATCAATCGCTGCCAGCTAACACAGCACAGCCTCACGGAAGAGAAGCCATTCCAGGCACTGCACTGGGGTGAGCTCTTCAAAGGTCTCACCAGCATGGCCCGTGAATGACATAATCTCCAAATAGCCCCAGGCAGACAAAAAAGGTACCCCCTCTCCCGCTGAAAGGCTTGATGGGAGCAGACAACCTCATCTTTCTCCAGAGAAGCAGTTAGTCGGCTTGAACTGCTGACCTTGCAGTCAGCACCTCCATATGGAACCCACTAGGCCCCCAGGACTCCTTTAAGCCCATGATAGTGACTCCAGTCCCCGGAAAAGCACAGAACACTAGGAAAACAGAGGGTCAGCAAAAGAAAAATAAGGAAGATGATGGTCACACTGCTCCGACGTGACCACTGAGGGTGGCACAGGGCTGGGCGGGCAGTGCTGCGAGCTGCTGTGTACCAGGCAGCTATGGGTCGGAACTGACTTGGCAGCATCTGGCTGCAGTGGCACTGACCTAAGAAAGTCCCTCCTTGAACTCATGGCAAGGAGGAGACAAGTGCATCAGCCGTGCACACACACCTTGCCCCAGCCACTGTACCAGGCACTTGTCATGCCCACCGCCTCATGCCACTGTCCTCACCACTTGGGGAGGCAGGCACCGCTATTATCCCCATCCCATCAGCAGGGGAGGAAACGGGAGCTCAGAGATACATAGGAGGCTGCCTGGGATCACAAAGTCAGGGACAGAACCAGGGTCCATGTCCAGGTCACCCTGTCCTAGTGTCTGTGCTCTGTCACCCCACTATGCCCCATCCAGTGCTACACTCAAACATCCCACCACCAACTCCTGGACCCCTCCCTCCTCGCCAGTGCCCGCTGAGATGCATATGGTACAACTACACCCACCCGGCTGAGGGTCAGGGAATAAAAAGCAAGGCCCCTCATCCAGATGGGGGCTGCCCCTCATTACTTCCTGTGCCCAACCCCCCAACCCCGAGGCGTACCCTGATGGACTTCTGGAGAGAAAAGAGCAAGTCTACTGCTTCAAGTATGAACGGGAACCACCCTACCCCTCAACGCTGGCCCTTGGCTCAGCCCGTGAAGGAGGGTGGCATGAGGAGTCCAGTGGGAGACGCTGGCCACAGCCTGGTAGCCTCGGTTATCCCAGCAAAGACCCCTGGCGCCAGGGAAGAGCTTGTGGGGACCCTCCAGAAACAGGCTGGTGCCCTGGTAGATAACATTTCTGTGGGCAGGAGGAGTTCTTGGGAACCTCTGGGGAAGGGGGCACCTGCAACCTGTTTTTATAAACTTAAGGTCCTCGTGACCCCTGGATGGTGCAAATGGTTAACGTGCTAAGCTGTTAACCAAAAGGTGAAAGCCCACTTGGAAGTGCCTCGGAAGAAAGGCCTGGCAATCTACTTCCCAAAATGCAACCACTGGGCATTTTATAGAGCACAGTTCTACCCAGACACAAGGGTCACTCTGCATTGGAATTAACTTAGATGCAGCATTTGCTGTCCTTTCCATGCCGATGCGGGGTGGGGAGTTACGGGCTCAGAGCACCGGCCTCCTGGGGGCTGTGCTGCCATTGTTGGCAATCACCTCCTCTCTGGACCATCTTGGGTAATTGGCTCCTTGTGCCATTAGGCGCCCCCTCATTTCCCGGGGCCTCGTGGAATCCACACTTAACAGTGAGCCTGGGCTTCCACCAGAAGGTAATACAGGTGTGTGTGTGGGGGTGGGGGTGTGGGGGCGCTGGGTGCGCGGCAGAGAATTCAAGGTTGACCTCCATCGGGCGACTGGGGCAGCTACGTTAGGGACCCAGGTGCTCAATTAATTCTTTTGTCTACAGTTGTATCTATGCTTCATGTTTCCTGGAATAGGAAGCTGTTTGTTTAAGTCAGGCTCAGGTCACAGGGACACCCTCCCCCCTGCCCCCCCAGGTCAGGGCAGAACTGCTTCCTGGGGTTTCTGAGGCTGTACATCCTAAAGGAACAGCTGCCTCCTCTTTCTCCTGAAGGCCGGCTGGTAGGTTCCAGCTGGTAGGTTGCCCCAACTCTGTGCTTCCACCAGGGTGACCAGAAACCCCATTTGCTCCTGTGTCACAGGCCCCATCTTCACCGTTCATCAGCAATGCCTGGAAACACCCCCATCTGAACCTCCTTCATCATGGGGATGGCCAGCAGCCACTGGGAGGCAGTGGGCCCCATCTGGGCCTTGGGGAACAGGGTCACTGTGTCCATGTGACTCACGGAGGGGCGGCTCCCTCCACTCCCACCCGCCACCCTTGGGGCCCAGTGGCTGACTGGGTAGTTGGGAGAGCTTGGCACTCTACCAGCCTCTTGCCTGTGGCAGAGGACGAAGCAGGGGCCCAGGGGCTGGGTGTCCTGCCCTCTCACACAAGCCCCGCCCCCAAGGCGAGGAAGGATACATTCCCAGGATCACAGCTTCCAGGCATTTGATTGGCAGGGCCTCTTTGGTCATTTCCTTGGCCAGGTCCATCAGCCTGTCGGAAAGGGAGGGGCGAGTCCAGAGGATGGCACCCTGTGCCCTTGCCGGTGGGCGGGTTCGAACAAGAGGGCAGGAAGACAGAAAGCCCCCTTCTAAGCTGCTTCAACTCAGCCCAGCACCTCCCCGCTTCACCCACCCAGAGTCAGAGGGGGCAGGAACCAAGGCAGTCATTGCTGATAAGGCCAGAGGCCCATTCAACCCCCCTTCCTTCCTTTCACTTCCTCCTGCCTAGACTCCAGCTCCAGAGACCTGGGGACAAGGGGGGCAAGGGATCCTGAATGGGGAACTGAGACAGCCTGGGTGATGGTAGTGGGGAGGGATGCGGAGGGTGCCATCACCGACCATGGCTCCTCCAGAGGGCTTGTAATTGATTGCAACTGCTCCCCAGAGGCCGGCTGGCTGCCAGACCCCGACGTGGATCTCCGGCACACAGCCACCCACCCACAACTCCCCAGCCTGTTCCTGAACTTGGAATTCAGGCCGTTTCAGGACAGGCTATCCTTCCTCATGAGAGCTGGCCCTCGGGCCTGGGAATTTCTCGCTTGGCCCAGGACAAGTCTGGCCCGCCACCTCCATGGCTGCTCACAGCAGCCTTGGGCCACAAGGGCAGAACACTGTGGGGACTTGGGGAGGGGCAACTGGCTCATTTGTTGGGGAGACCAGCGCCTGGAGAAGGACATTGTGGCTGGGAAAGTTGGGGGGGGCTGGCAGAGAAAAAGAGGAAGGGCCCTCCACGAGATGGCTTGTCACCGTGGCTGCAACGGGCTCAGGCATAGAACAACTGTGAGGATGGTGCAGGTCCGAGCAGTGTTCCGTTCTGTTGTGCACGGGTCGCTATACCTAACAACAACAACTGGCTAATTTAGCTAATTAACCACGTTCATAAGGAAACAAACCCAGAACCGACCCATTGCCCAGCAAGCTGCTAATGTCACAATACTTCTGAACTCGGGGCTTTGGGCCCTGGACAGCTTTGGGCAGAGACCCCAGGCCACGGTAACTGTAAAGCCCCGGGCTCCTTCGCTAGGCCGCAGGAAGTCCTCCAAGTGAGTTCGCCCAGCAGGGTGCAACGCTGTCCCAAGAGACCCTGCGGGGATGGATGTGCAGTGACAGGTAGCTGCCAGGGAGACTAAGAGGAGGGGAAGGAGCACACCTCTGTTGAAAAAAGAAAGACCCAAGGCCCATATATAGGCTGACGACCTGGGGTGACCATCACACCCAACAGGCAGGGGCACCCTCCCACTTGATTTGGGTGTCCCAGATTCCTTCTCTCAACGTCGCCCAGACGAACATATCATCTCAGCCAGCTTGCCAGCTTCGTGGCATCGTCCGGGCACCCCACTTACCCGGTCAGAGGCCTGCTCTTCTTAATTTCAAAGAACTGTGTCCCTGTGTGATTGTACCTGCAGGGCTGGTTAAGGGTTTCCTAGGTTTGTCCGAAAGACACTTGTCCTATGGCCCCCACTGCCCAGCATCCCCAGGGCCCATGTTGGGCAGAGTACTTCCAAAGGACCCACGGTGGATGCTGAAGGCCCGTCCCTCTTGGGGGAGTCCACCCGGCCCTCTAGATGCTGGGCCGTCCAGAGACAATAATCTCCCTCTCTGGTCCACACTCTTGGCACTGGCACAGGGAAGGGCAGGACCCAATGTCCTGTAATCAGCCTGGAAACCCCTCATCAGTCATTTTCTACTAGTCCAGACCCAGGCCCGGTCCCACCCGCCCTGGCCTCAGCTGCAGCCAGGAGAGAACCCACTATACCCACTGCTGCAGGCAGGGGCTAGGGAGTGGTTCCCCGGGCACAGAGTGGGGGTGGTGTGTGTGTGTGTGTGTGTGTGTGTCTGGAGCCCTGAGGAGCCCAGCT